AGGCTGCAAGGAGGAGCGCTTTTACACAGCTAATGGCGAATACCCTGCAATCCAAGTCCTCTTCACTTGCTCAAATCTATTCTGCCTCAAAACAAGGAGCAGAATTAAAAGGCCGCAAACTGTTAAATGGAAAAAACCCCAGCCACAGGGCAAATACCTTAAGTATACCTTTAAAGCAACAGTGTTCTTTCCCTCCCCGCTCAGCTCACAGAAAAGCTCCTTCTCCACACACCCCACGCGTGCTCCTTGTCCATTGAGTGCTTTTCCTTCCCTCCCCACTTAAAACGTGGTTACAAAGCACGGATCCACATGGATCCTCAGGATTTTTGCACTGGGTCACCCCAAACTCACCATCAGATCACATGTCTGTGGCCACAGCATGAACCACAAAAATCATACATCTACTGTTTCGTTTAGAATATTTTTTTTCTTGTTTTCCTCCTCTAAAAACTACGTGCGTGTTATGGTCAGGTGCGTGTTATCGAGCGAAAAATACGGTAGTTTTTAAATGAAATTTGGTGAGAATCAACTCCCAGACAGTTGGTAGAGCATGAGACTCATTAATTGGACTAGACTAGATGGCCCCTGTGGTTCCTTCGACCTCTATAATTCTGTGATTTTGAGAGAGAAGCGGCATCCTTTGCTGCAGCAGTATTTAGTATTGAGGGTTGCTGTTTTTCGCAGACTGCATTAGTGAGAGTGGCAACAAGTGGAACTGCTTTCCGAGACCTTTTAGACGGACTTATTGGCAGTTGACTCCTGGCTGGCGTGAAAAATGTCCCCTACAGTTTTTTGTGATGCTGCTGCCATTAGAGAGCAGCTTAAAACACCCTCCCCCTGATTTGCAATCTTCTGTTGGCTTTTCGTTTATAGGAAGACACCAGTCTGCTGTATGTGAGCTCGGTGGACATTTGTACATCATCGGAGGAGCCGAATCTTGGAACTGCCTTAACAGCGTGGAGCGTTACAATCCAGAAAACAATACCTGGACCCTGATTGCACCTATGAACGTGGCTAGGCGTGGTGCAGGTGTTGCTGTACTTGATGGTAAGTTTGTGTGAGTGGAGCTCTGCAATTCAGAGTGATGCCTTTTTTGTGGGGGGGATATAGACCTTGTGGCCTAGAAATGGGGCACAGCAAATGAGAATACATGACAGAGCAATTGCGGAAACGGCTCTCTCGATGTTTGCAGACCCATTTCACACTGGCTGAAGATGTCTAGAGACAGATTGTGAACCATAAACCACCAGAATGCCTATATTACGCAAATCCAATTGAAAACACACGTAAACATAACAGGCCGTATAGTAACAATTGCAAAGTTATTTACTTGAACTACTCAAAAATTAGATCTACCACTTTTCATAATGTCAAAATCAACATCAGGACAGAATATAATAAAAATGTAACTTTCCGGTTGACCACCAAGTCCAGTATGTACAAAAAACTCGGCTGAGTCTACAACGGAGGTACAGTGGTACCTCCGGTTGCAGACAGGATCCTTCCAGAGGTCCAGCCGGATCCCAAGATTTCTGCAACCGGAGAGACCGCTTCTGTGCACACAGCAGTAGAGCGTTTCTGCGCATGCGCGCATGGCAAAAACCCAGAAAAATACTTCTGCGTTTGCCGCTTACGCATCCCAAAGTTTTCGTAACCAGAGGTACCACTGTATTCAGAAGAGCTGGAAAGTGTTGAAGTAGAATTTTATTGCCATCGTAATTCTTTAATTTTTTGAAAGCTCAAGCAGTATGTTTAACCTTGCTCGGTACGCAGTTAACCTTTCAGTTGCGGTATAGCTTTTGTGCCCGTAACGTGGTTTTTTCCTCTACACTTTACTGAAGACTGACTGCTATCCACTCCACAGGAAAACTCTTTGTTGGCGGCGGCTTCGATGGTTCGCGTGCTGTCAGCTGCGTGGAGATGTATGACCCTGCTAAGAACGAGTGGAAGATGATGGGCAGCATGACCATCCCAAGAAGCAATGCCGGTTTTGCAACCGTGGCCAACACCATCTATGCAGTGGGCGGTTTTGATGGCAATGAGTTTCTGAACACAGTCGAAGTCTACAACCCAGAGTCAAATGAGTGGAGCCCATACACAAAGATCTACAAATTCTGACGGACAGGAGGAGTGTCTTTAAAACTAACAGGCTTAGTGATGTAATTGTCAGTAGAGGTACACATGTGAATAGGGGGCGGGGGGTGTTAAGTTGCCACCAGCAACACAAAAGCTTTTTGCATATTGCATACTATTAATATGCTGTACATATTTTTATTTTAGAAGACGTGCAGGGTGTTCTTTGTTTTAGGATTTGTTACTTTAGGCTGGAAGTTGATAATTCTGAGAGAATTAGAACGAAAGCTGATGGCATATCATTTCAGGAGCTTCCCCCAATGTTTGTTTTGCCAATTTGCACACACAAATACTTTAACCTTAGAATTTGTTTCTGGTACCGGCAGGAAATATAGTGAGTCTTCAATGTGAGCAATGCTTTTTAGGCCTTGTTCGAGTTTTTTTGTTTAATCTTAACTGGGGAAATCTAATAAGCCTTATTTAAATAGATTTTGGCTTTATATAAAAGAAAGCTGACACACCTGCCAATTTGACTGCCTTTTATAACTTTTTATATATAAATATAGTCATAGCCAGTTGTTATATTCTGAAGTGACATGAAATAATAATGTTGAAACAAAAAACAGTGAGTAAAATCTCAAAAGTTCATAAACTGAAGTGAAACATGTCGTTTCTTCATGTGTGGGAGCCTTTCATTTTTGTTTTCCTGCTACATTGTATGAAATCCAAGTATGCAATATTGATTTTCATTGCCTTCGAGTGGAATTTCTGAACGTGGCCATAGTGTAAGGAAGGGGGGGGGCGGGGAATCTGGTTCTGAAATTCAACTGATTTAGAGAGGGTGCTTTTTCTGTATGGTTGTTAGGTTAAGCAGTTGTAATTAACATGCAAAGCTGCAAAATGCTAAAATTGTGTGGTGTGTTAGCAAAGTTACCTATCTGAAAATTATTGTATAAGTTTGTATCTTTCTACCGCAACCTAAAAAACATGCTATAATTAAAAACTGTGCTTCATTTGTTTAACAATGGCTGTTTAGTATCCTTGCATCGTGTTTTCTCCTAATGGTCTAGATTGCCCAGTGCTCTTTGACTCCATGAAGCAGTTGCCCATGTATCCCTAGCATCATTTTTCAGCTTAACAAATATATGCATGTAGCTTCTCCCTAGCTGGGACAAGAATCAAACCAGGACGTATCTAACCTTAGTTCATTTTTCAGGAGAAAACTGGTGGTCAGCTGCACCAGGAAAAGAAATATGAGATTCTTGCTGTTCAGTGTCTGTACATATTTAAATCTTGCAGGATAATATATTTATGTTGTTCCTAGATTATTACACTTCTCTAGTGATAGCAGTGGGACGCGGGTGGCGCTGTGGGTAAAACCTCAGCGCCTAGGACTTGCCGATCGTATGGTCGGCGGTTTGAATCCCTGCGGCGGGGTGCGCTCCCGTTGATCGGTCCCAGCGCCTGCCAACCTAGCAGTTCGAAAGCACCCCAGGTGCAAGTAGATAAATAGGGACCGCTTACTGGCGGGAAGGTAAACGGCGTTTCCATGTGCTGTGCTGGCTCGCCAGATGCAGCTTTGTCACGCTGGCCACGTGACCCGGAAGTGTCTGCGGACAGCGCTGGCTTCCCGGCCTATAGAGTGAGATGAGCGCACAACCCTAGAGTCTGGCAAGACTGGCCCGTACGGGCAGGGGTACCTTTACCTTTACCTTTAGTGATAGCAGTGCCAAAATTAAGCTCCTACTGGCTAAATATAAAAAATAAACATCTAAGAATACATAAACCACTCAAGATTATTTTATGGATTTATACTCCCATCTTTTAGAAAATTAACACAATTAGGAAATTACACTAAAAAGGAAGGTGGGCTTTCCCTGGACTTTATGAAGGAAGCAGAACACTTTTCAGGTTGTAGAAAGCAAAGACTGGGTTTTTTTTGTTTTGTTTTTTAAAAGGATTTCGTTTATACACATATTAAAAGGAATTTGAGCAATCAAAGATTGAAACAAGTTGTAAACAGAGTCTCACTTCCTAAACTTAACATGTTTCCTACTTACTTTAAGCAGAACAGATCACTTTACATTTAAGTGACAAAGCCATTTCCTTATTTCTGTAACATTCATGTATTATGGTTTGAGGCAGGGGTGTTTACATTTTGTGAAAACAATTATGAAAAACAAAATTACTAGCCATAGGGTCAAGTATGTTTTACTTCAGTGTTTTTAGCCAATGAGTGAAGTCAGACCTGTGAGTGAAAAGGGGGTTGTTTGAATACCAAGCAATCGAAAGCCTTGGGGTTTTAAAGAGCTGTTTTCCCCCTAATTCCATTATAGTGTACTCTCGCCCCTGTCCTTATTTCCTAGTCCATGGAAGTTCTAGCTTGTCCTTCCTTTCTCCCTTGCAACCAGAATGCATCTTTCTTCCAGTATACGTGTCTGAGATCTGGTAGTTCCTAGTAAGTTGTGTTAAAGAATCCCCTCTTACCCCAAAACATGCAAACCTGAAAACTTCTAAAGAGGCTTTAGCCATGTTTCCTGCTATGCCACAGCTAAAGACCAGAAACTCATTAAGAATTCACTGCATAGTCGCATCTGAATAGACATGTAGCATGTAAGTTAAGTCTCATTATGTTTAATAGGGCTTACTCCCAGGTAAAAGGGTACAGGATGGCAGCCTTTGAGAGCAGGGTTCATGTGTTATTAACAGCTCTATGGCAGGCAAAAATTCAGGTTCCTAGCTTGGAAATACCAATTATGGGAAACACTTCAGCATGATTGTACTTTCTCTAATTCTGAATTATGCCATGTCCTATGACAGCCATTTAGTGACTGGTTTCCCCAGTACTCCCTCAAAATTTAAAGTGTCCAAAAAGCTTTGCAACCCCCGGTTTAGTTGACCAACAAATGTACAGGTAACAAAGAGAAGACAATTCAGCAGAGAACTGCTATTTAATAAAAGAATAGCTCAAATTATTAAGATCTTAACAATTTTTAAAAAGAATATCAGAATAAAAATAATATCAAATTTTATTTCAGTACATGTTAATACAATGAAAAGTTGGCCGCTGTTTAGGTAACAGCTATAAACTGGGCTGAAAAAAATAAGCTTTAGGGAGAATATTGATAATTTATATGAGCTTTGGACATATCAATATAAAACAACTAATTTTGGCTTTCACTTCAAGACCTATTCCATTTCCCCCCCCCCAAAGTCCCTGTTTTCATTTGCCAACATTTAGCAGAAACTAACCATGTGACCAGCACAGGTAGATAAGACAAAATACAGTATTTATTGACAATAAATTAAAGAAAACACCCTCCTCTGCTTGCGCACATTGACTGCAGCTGAGACACTGCTTATCTATAATCAATTAGAAGCAAAACAAAAGCAGTGGTTCCATGTGTCATTGAATATAACACTATATTCTTCTGAACCCCAAAATGTGCATAGCCACAGTCAGTATCTTTATACAATTAGTGAAATCCCTTTCAGTTTAGTGAGACTTCTCTAGGTCCCTGGTCTGCTGCTCCTGGCCCCTCAAAGTCAGAGATATCAGCCCTAAAATTAGCCTTTTACTGTTTGCATCTAGCCATAATCGACTTGGAATCACAGAACTGTAGAGATGGAGGGGACCACGAGGGTCATCTAGTCCAACCCCCTGCAATGCAGGAATCTTTTGCCCATCGCTGCACTCACAAAATTGCATTTGCACACATTTGCACAATCACATTGGGGTTGTGGCCCTGCTCCCTCCTCCATGTGCCACGATGGAGAAAGACTGAACACACCTTGTGCCACCTTTTGTTTATCAAAACAGCCGCTTGCAGAAATTATTTGAGCAAATTCCTCAAGGCAAGCCTTCCGAAACCGGCAGCGACGCAAAAAGGCTTGTGTAGTATCCTTCTAAACAAATGAAGCTGTGCAATGCAATCGTAGGTTCCTTCACTCAAAAGTGGACTTAACTCCCAAACAAATATGCATAGGATTGCAATCGTAGCCTTGAGTTAAATTGACTGGGTGAAAGTCAAGTTTGCCAAGGTAGTTCCATACTGTGCCAGCATAGGGAACTCACAATACACTTTAACAGTTCACAAGTCCTGTGTTGCCATAACTAGGCCAGCGTAAAGCAGAAAAAATGGGAGTATTCATTACTTACTGCAAATGGCGTCTCCACTTCTCATCTTCTTTCTTTGAGAGAAGGAAAGACCTCCTATCTGGAACTTTTCTGTAGCAAAGTCCTGGGGGATGGGGAGTCCCCATCATATTCCTCGGAGGAATTAGAAGCACGCCGTGTGTCAAAGGTGCCTGTTTCAGGAGAGGGCTGGGAGGTCCACATTGCTTTCACAAGCTTGCTTAATTGTTTTAGAATGACTAGCCATTTTTTTTGCCCTTGTTTCTAGCTACTTTGGCATAACAGTGGGGCGAATGCTTCCAAAGGCAGAATCTACTAAGGGCTGGAGGGGGCAGGAGTAAGCTATGGCATAAAGTATTTGGGGGGGGGGGATAATACAATAAACGGATAAATAATGATGCTCAATTTTGCTTCAAAAGTGCAAGGCAGAGGTGTGGAGCACAGTCTGGTGGCAAGTGGTCAGTAAATCACCAAACCAGTTCAAAATGGTCCCTGCCCCGATGAGCCCCTTCCACCTTGGCAATACGTTTGCCAGTCATACTATGTGAGCAAATCCCAAGCTACATTTCTCTTCACCAATTGCCTCTAGGAGCATCCACTCCAAGAGGGTGGGGGCAGGGACGGGTGACTGGATCTCCAAATTTCATTGCGTAGTACTTCTGGGGAAAGCTTTCTTTCGGATCCACTGTAGTCATCAAGGTACGGCAGCTGTGCTCAAGGCACTGATACACACCGCACACAAGACAGTGAGATTTTAGCCTTGCTTCTATTCTGTCTCCCACATAATGGCTTCTCCTGCCATGACCCATGGCCAAGCAGGAAAGGGGGTAGGGAGAAGACAGTGAAGAGGACAAGTAGTAAACAATAGGGAAGAATATAATAAAGTGAAAAAATACTGTTTTAATTAAGAGAGGCTAGAAAGGATGAAATGCCAGAAATTCAATAATGGGATGAAGATACAGAGCATTCTTCACCAAACTGGTGCCCACTAGATGTTTTGGACTACAGTGCCAATCAGCCCCAGCCAAATTTTCCAAAGTTGATCACAGGTCCCTGTTCTAGGGAGTAGCTGGAGACAAACCCTCTCTGGTTGTATCTCTCCCATTGGACTGAGAATGGGTCCTTCCTGGAGGTCTTTGGGGGTTTCTTCCAAGCCTTCTCTCCTAGGAGTCTGTGACCAGGGCCTGATCCTGCCTCTGCCACTCCACCGATAAGTTACCTTTGCTTTTGCACTGGCAAAAATGCCGCAGCGCTATTGCTACTGCCCTTGCTCAGGATGCTGGAGGATTTGAAATTCTGCCTGCGGGTCTAGCTGGTTTCTGGTCTAACTACCTATTGTGGTTAGGACCTCTGACCCACCAGTCTGCCTTCCCCAAACCACATCCCCCTACCCTTCACCTGATGTCAGATGCTGCATGGGGGCAGGGGAGGAATGATATGGTTGCAAAGGAACAATTGGGAGCCTTAGTGTGTGCTCCTAATTGCTCCTTGGTAAGCAAGGCTTGTCGGCGCCCAGCAGCTGATCGGTGCTTACAAGTGCGCCTCGCTGGCGCAGTCGATCCATGCCCAAAGCGGGGCTTGCTGTGAGCACCAATCAGGTGATTCACAGGCGAGTGATCCCACTCATCTGTCAAAAGTGGTTCGTGGGGTGGGGCTATGCTTTGTGTTTGAGAGGGAGCTCAGAGGGGTTTAAAGTGATTTCTGTAGTTGCTGATTGGTGCCTTACATACCTAAGTGATGCGGGGGCCTCATTGTAAGAGAGGTTGTAACTGATGGGAGACCACTGTGTTGGCAGGATCTTTGCTGAGGTAAGCTACCATCACTGCGATGTGGACTCTTTTTCCCCTGCTACTATTTCTTTAGATAAATTGTGCGTTATCTTAACAACCATTTGGGCCTTGCAAGTTTGTTTATTTTTTTTAATGTACTGAAAAATCAGGATTGGGGGGAAAGGGGGTTTGCTCTTTACCCCCATACTACAGTCCCGAGTTTAAAAGTCTCGTGCTGAGTTATCCTGCCTACAACTGCCTCCCTCACTCTGCTGGCACCAATGGCAACACATACCTAATACAAATAGGAGCTTTGGGGAGATTTTAAAAATCCACACACACCCCTGCTGTGGGTCCCAATCCTAACCCTCACCCCCCTCCCCTCAGCAGCTGCTATATAGGTAAGGGGTGGGTGGGGAAGAACAGCACCAAACTACACAATTAATGTAACGTATAGTTTGGGACCTTAAGCATAGCTGCCGAGAGCGCAAATAATGCCATTTAGTAACACTGCTCTAAGGTCCATCTTTGGCTGGGCCATCAAACTGACGTGTTCCTTCACTGCAGGGGGTTGGGCTAGATGACCCGCAGGGTCTCTTCCAACTCTACAATTCAAAAGCTGCAGCTCATTGCACAATTAGAGCCAACCCCTGTTCTTTATCTCCAGACAGACAGATTCATAGCACCGTTTAATATTGTTGTCCAGTTGAGCTAGTTGGCAGCATCCAACCGATAAACGGTCCCTGGAGAAGGGAGGGGGGATGGGGGATGAGAGAAGAAAATGCATAGATTTAATTACTAAAACCTGTCCCAATGCGATCACTTATTACCTTTTAACAACTTTTCAACTGCTTTGTTACAATGGCAGTACAGTCATACCTCGGGTTACAGATGCTTCAGGTTGTGTTTTTCGGTTTACGGACCCACCAAAACCCGGAAGTACCGGATTAGGTTAGTTTCGGGTTTCGGCAGTCGCGCATGCACAGAAGCGCCAAATCGCAATCTGCATCCTGCATGGATCACGTTCGCAACCCGAGCGTCTACTGTATTGGCTTCCAGCTCATTTCTGAGTCCAATTCATAAGAGTGCTGGTTATGGCTTTGAAAACCCAAAACTGCTGAAGACCAGACTACTTGAAAGGCTGTCTTCTCCTACCCAAGTCTGCCCCATATATTGAAATCAGGACAGTCTCTACTCTGCATTTTCAATTTCCGCAGAACAGCTGGTGAGGAGGAAGGAGAGTATCTTTTTGGTGGCTGCACCCAGGCTCTGGAATTCCTTACTAAGGGAGATACTTTTACTTATTGGCTTTATTTTAATCAAGCCTTGGTGCTCTCTTTTCAATGTGCAACTCAGTTTATTACACTTCAGTTCCTACTTTTTATCCCTTTGGTTTTGTTTTCTTTTAATTGTAATGTATAAAGTACCGACAACTAATCACACATGCCCACCCCCACAAGGATGAAATTTTATTGTCCTGAATTAGATGAAACAGGACAGTTCTGCCAATCAAGGCCATGTTAATAAGCTGCATGATTTTATTTCTATACAATAATTTAATTGGAGACACACAGAAGCATAAAGGCTTTGGTTTACATAAGCATTCTCCCTAATGTCTATGTTTTGCTCAGGTTACAATTGTATTGTTTTCCCCAGTTTTGCATTTATTAGCATCCAAACATTCTGCTCCACAGCAGCTGTGCTGAAAAGAAAAAAAACTGCTTTTTGTTTGATGCTAATTCAAATTATGATCTTGGAAGCAATCAAGACTGTTTGATAACACAACTTAACAAGACTGTCTCTTTGAAAAACCACAGGGAACATAAAGGCAGAATATAAGGGCATGAACATTAATGCCTTAATTATGCCCTCTTTCAAATATCTTAACATTGCTTGATTACAGGATAAAAAGCAAGGTTCAACACAAGGTATGTTTCACTGAAAGATCTTAAAATAAAACATCTGTTTCAGATGATGTTTTCTACATTTACTCTATTAAGTACACAGGTATACTGAAGATAGGATTCATACTGCCGCTGTCAAGAGATCCCAATACAGTATCACTATTTTGCAAACTAAAATTACTCTGTTCTGAAAGGAAGAGGAGATGCTGCCTCATAGAATGTTTTCAACATAATGAAAAAACAAGTGAAAAAGGATTATGGCCAGTAATTAAAGATGTATAAAAAGTAGCTTACCTGTACACCTCTTGGGAAATGCAGTCATAAAGTTCCTCAGCAGTAAATTTTGTATTATTGTGCATCTATGAAGGAGGGAGAAAAACACACTGAAATGTCTAGGAAGACTCGCCAATTGTGAAATGTGGATATTACCTGTTGGAAATTATTCATCTCTGTAAAAGAACTAAAGGCTGCTTCAGATTATCTTTTTATGAAGTCCTTAAAACAAGAGTTGTCACCTAGGCCCTTTGCCAAGTCAAGCCACAGTCCCTGCACTTTGCCAGCCTGGTATGCAAAACAAGTGTGAAAAAAGTGGCATCTTTGGCAAAATAATTTGCTGGCAGTCTACTTTACAGGATATGAGATGCTGACCCATCACTCTAGAGCACTTATTGAGCAGTATGGTACCAATCAATGCCATTTATGATTGACTAGAGAAAGGGTAACAAGCTCATGGGTGAAAGAAATGGCAGTTGAAAGATATACTTATTGATGCAGACCAGCACAGCCAGCCAGTAGCTCAATACACACAAGCCATCTCTTCCAAAGCAAACTTCTATTGGTCTCTGTAGAGTCTATATTCCCATAATTTAAAGGCTAGCAAAGTCTGTCGGTGAGGTTCTTTGCCCAGTTGCGTTATCTGCATTCAATACCACAAAGCTGAAATTTGGTGGCCGACTAATAACTTGGCAGTCTGCATTTGTTTTCTCCTGCAAATGTTTTGGTCACTTTACTCATAAGAAGCTGCCTTGAATTGTATCTCTTTATCCTAGCTCTAACCCAGGGGTAGGCAACCTAAGGCCTGGGGGCCAGATGTGGCCCAATCACCTTCTAAATCCAGCCCGTGGACAGTCTGGGAATCAGCGTGTTTTTACATGAGTAGAATGTGTCCTTTTTAAAAAAAAACGCATCTCTGGGTTATTTGTGGGGCCTGCCTGGTGTTTTTACATGAGTAGAATGTGTGCTTTTATTTAAAATGCATCTCTGGGTTATTTATGGGGCATAGGAATTCGTTCCTTATTTTTTTCAAAATATAGCCCGGCCCAGCCCCTGGCTGAAAAAGGTTGCTGACCCCTGCTCTAACCAATCAATCAATATGAAACAAGAAAGAAAATATATGGTATTTTCCTGTGGCTTAATAACTGTGGACTCAGGCAGCAAATGGAGCTGTGTATTCAGTAATGTGGTGATGTCAAATTCTCTCTAGATCAAGCTGTAAAGAAGTTTAGAGAAAAACCAGCCAAGAGGAAAGAAGTGGTGTTCTCACATATTCCTAAGAGGCTCTAAGCCACTTTTCTATGGTTACAGTTCTGGTTCAGTCTCTGGGGAACAGCATGCAATGATGAATCAGGCATTGAAATATCAACCACCTTGGAAATGGAAGACTCCCTTGCTTGTCTCAAATGAAAATGTGCTCCTGTCTTGGGTGAACTGAATCACTGAAATCATGGAACTACACTAGTCCTCTAAAAGGAAACAACTTCTAATATAAAGCTAAATTATGGGCAACATAAATGCATCCTGTTGCATTGGTTGTTCATGCTAGTGAGAGAGTCTGCTAAGCAAAACCATGAGTGGCCATGGAGGAACCTTTCCACTCTTATTTCTCTTTACCATAAAAAGAAGGGGTAAGCATAGCATTGGGTGCAAAAGCCCAGCTGCTGAGTGGAGGGTCACCCATGACAACATCAGCAGCCAATACCAATTAATCCTTTATTAGGCATAGCAAACCACACATTTTAAAACAAACACCGTATACAGATTGTGGAAAATACGAATTCAGCATAACAATTTGCATAAATAATACAGTATAATATTACCACATCACCGACCAATCAAGAACCACTAAATCTCTCTATAATGGCCCAGTCTTTCCACATGGACAGCACTCAAAAATTTAGCCACTATTAGAGTAATTTGATCATTCCTGTCCGAGAGCAGGTCCTGAACTGTTGGCGGTTGTAAGGCCTCTAACAATTGTCTTCTGGCATAAATGCCAAAATCCCAAGAAAAGAAAATATGCTCTAACGTATCAGGTTCCTGCCTACCACATTTGCAGAGACGCTCTGCTTCTGGGAGAGCTAAATATTTTCCTCTTACTATCATCGAGGGAAACATATTAAATCTGGCTAGCATAAATAGCCTGCACAGTTCATGATTCTTCAGATTTGTCATGTAACCCTTTTGAAAATCTCTACACAAAGGGAGATTTAAATAGAGAGGAGAGCAAGTGTTGTGCTTTGCAACTTCAAGAGTGGAGAGAACACTTTTTCCTGTAAAATTCTTCCTGATAATTTCCCAAGTATCTCTGGGGTCAGAATTTTCAAAGTCAATTAGATGAAGCCCTATTGAGTTCAATTTTCTCCTACAAATCAATGATAAATTGTAAATTACATTATCACTTAAGAGGTCGTAAAAGAGAGAGTTAGGAGATAGGGCTCTATAATGAAGATCCAATATTTCAAGGTTCTCAGCCAATACCTTTGCCAGGACAATTGTCCACACTCAGCAACTGCGCATGACGCTGATTGTTGCCACCTCCACCTTCACACAGCAAAAGGTAAGAGGTGGGAAGGGGTGGCCCTTCCCCTTCAACACGTCCCCATGGCACTGGCTGGTTCCCCTTAGCAAACCAGCTCACTGGCTGCCATAGTATCCAGGTGCCATTAAGTTCTACTAACAGAGCACTTTGCTCTCAATCTGAACTTGGAAGTCTTCTGCCAAGGACATTCCATCTCAGGTTCGTTGGCTGCTAAAATAGGAGGCTGGTTCAAACAGCCAGCAGCTCCAAGTGATGGTTTCTGGGAATGTGCTGGGCCACTGTGGGCTGTGTGAGCTGGCCCAATGATCCTACGATGGTTTCTTCCTATGCTGCTCAGTAGACACTGGGTGTCTGAGGTCACATAAGAAGTACCCCCATGTGACCTTGGTCTTCCAACATTAGAGTGGCAAAGAAAAGAGCCACAGTGCAGCAATCTCATTCCTGGTTAGCAACAACTCTCAGGTTTATTACTGGTTTAAGAAAGCTCTGCGAGTATCCAGAAATAAGAATGAGTTGCTTGACTTGCAGTTATTACAGACTAACAATATATACTAGAATGTGTAAATGCAGAGGCAGCCAGAAACATGTTTATAGACTTGCAGGGAGCAAATCTACCCTGCTTCCAGGCTGGCTGACCAATGTATGTGAAGCAGCAGCAGACTCAACTGACCTCTTTGGAGAGGCAACAGTCTTTGTCAGATGACGTGAAAGTTGTCTGAAGAATGTGGAGGGATATTTTTCTCGGCTGCCAGCTTAATCCGCCATCCCCATAGGACCTGACTTGATTTAGACAGCTCTACAGGTTGATGTGATGTGAGCTATGGTAATGAAGTAAACTTAAAAGGATTTTGCTTCCCAAATCGTGTGACGATACCTTAAGCATTTGGGGAACACTTCATGTTTCCCCTTTCAAGGAAGAAATTATTAGACTGGCCTAGTAATCAGTCTGCCCTGGACTATCTGCACACAAAATTTCAGAGTTTTGGGTCAACATAAAGTACTCGTAACACCTACAAAATGCTTTAAAGGGGAAATCAAACCTACCTTATTATTAGTTAAAAAGCTATAGAGAGCCCAGACATCTTGAAAGCTACTGTTTGGCACTAAAACCCTGAAAAAGATAAGAACAAACAGTGGAAAACTCATTAAAGGATTTTAAACATGGATGACCCAATGACACAAGAAGTTCACATCACTGCTTATACCGCATGAATGAGGTTCTTATTTAGTTATTTATTTGTTGCCTTTTCCCCCCTGACAGGGCTCTGGACAGCAACTTACAGATAAAAACACTTGATACAGATAAAACAATTGAAATACAGGCACCTTGCCTTGTGAAATACTAGTACCAATACATGAAAGTGGAGGTTCAGTTTTTGGAACTAGCTAACAGGTAGTTGCTAACAGCCAATGTGTACTTTTCAGATGCCTAGGATCAATACAAGCTAAAAGTACCAAGAAACTTATTTCAACACAGTGGCTCCAACAAACAACAGGTGTGCAAACGGCAAAAACAACCCGAAAAAGAGCACAAAAACTGCAAAAATGGTATGAAAAGAGCGGGGGCGGGGAGATGGCTTGTAAGTGCTTCTGGTTTTTAAAAGTTTTCCAAGGGTTTGCAGACGTTTAGAGGGTGTTAACGTGTTTTTAGATGGTGTTCCCCACTATTCACAATTTCATGGTTATCTGGGGACGTAACCCCCACATAAGTGGGAGTCACCTGTACGCCATTCAGCTCACATAAACTTACTGCCGAATTCCTGCTAGGATTTCGCTCACTGCCGCCATTAACTTCTGCAGACCGACAAAAGCGTCTTTCAAAGAGTCCATATTCTGAGTGGTGGTAGCCGTACTGAGGTCCAGCTTCTGGAAAAGTTCTAGACTAAGAAAAATAAAAGAATGAATTTTAAAACAGGCAAAGAACTACCTATTGTTCTAGACAGGAATGGGATGGGGAGGCAAGGATGGAGAGAGAGAGAGAAACAAACAAACAGACAGAATCAGAGGCAGGAAATCCTATCGCATGTATACTACTACTACTACTACTACTACTACTACTACTAATAATAATAATACTTTATTATTTATACCCCACCCATCTGGCTGGGTCCCCCCAGCCACTCTGGGCAGCTTCCAACAAAACACTAAAATACAATAACCTATTAAACATTAAAAGCTTCCCTAAACAGGGCCGCCTTTAGATGTCTTCTAAAAGTTTGGTAGTTATTTTTCTCTTTGACATCTGGTGGGAGGGCGTTCCACAGGGCGGATGCCACTACCGAGAAGGCCCTCTGCCTGGTTCCCTGTAACTTGGCTTCTTGCAGCGAGGGAATCGCCAGAAGGCCCTCGGAGCTGGACCTCAGTGTCCGGGCAGAACGATGGGGGTGGAGACGCTCCTTCAGGTATACTGGACTGAGGTCTTTTAGGGCTTTACGGATTCTTTTTCAAAGGAGCTCACTGAAGCAAAGGCATTCTGTCTAATCCTATTCATAAATTAATAGTGAACAGGGGTATAGCTGCAGTGATAATAGGACTATTTCCTCAGAAAAGACACACAACCTTTTGCATTATGTTTCCATTGCAGAAGTTTTTAAACAACTACTGAGCTGTTTAAAATTCTCCTTCAGATGTACGCATTGCCATCTTCCAGTTTGCACTAACTTTTTAAAAAAAAACTTTTGCCATCAAACCTTGTGGTAGACTGAAGCCCACTTGACAAATTATGTTTTTACAGTTTTCATTAAGGGCTTGTTCACACGTGTATTTGCAGTGACTGTATCAGATGACGGCATGCATATATGAAGGAGTCACCACTGATGAACCAGTACAGCCAGAACTTCCAAATAATCTCTTTTCTCTGAACATAATTTTCTTGACAGTGGATTAAATTCACAAATTTAGCTGCCAGTCATCAAGCAGCATACAAGCACATCTGCACTAACCCTAGGATGCTTTACATTTTGCCTAAAAATAAGACAACCTTGATTTCAAGAAGAACACTCTCTTTTAGCTTTTATTACCTGAATAGGTTTATTGTGTTCCAGACGCTTTCAAGGACAGACCAGATTTCCACATGCCTGTTTCCTTGGGCTAAAGGCTTAGGCGACAAGGACGTATCTACATCCTGAGTGTGCTGGGTCAAAGCTACATCTTCCATTTGTTCACAAGTAGTAGTTCCTGAAGTAGATTTGAGGGTGTCTGGAGTATTTGGTCCAGCACCTGGCTGAATATTATGAAAATATAGCAAGCAAGCAGTAAATATACTGGATCTGATGTGCTAAAGCTGCAAGCTACCAGATTTTTTAAAGGAATGACACACTAAGACTGATATAACCACAGTAAAAATGAGATTTACTTCAAAACATTTCACTGACTTAAAGACATTTATATACCACCCTTCATACTTTGACCCAAAGTATTTCACAAGAACATCAGTGCGGGGAGGGGGGGGGGCTGTTTGGCTCTATGTCACCTTTAGCTAATGCAATGAAAGAGCAGATCAGAGCTCCTTGGAGATAGAAAGAACTTAGAGCTAAAAGTTCCCCTTTCTTTATTCCTTTAGATAAAGTGCTGGAGAACCTATTCCTAACCAAGACCCAAGGGTGCTGTTTTATTTACCGTATTTTTCCGTCTATAAGATGCCCCTGTGTATAAGATTTGGGGGGACTCAGATTTAAGAAAATGGGGGGAGATGGCCCAGAGTATAAGATGCCCCCTAATTTTTGACATTACTTTTTAGGGGGGAAACTTAGTCTTATACACGGAAAAATACGGTACCTAAACTTTTTAATCCCTGTAAAAAACCTCAAGTGGTTTATAACAATGCAGTTAATAATAAGCTCAATAAAAAAGCAAGCAGCATTTTCTCCTATCCTCACTCCTGGCTTTCAACTCCTCCCAGGCAGGGGCTGACCCTTATCCATTTCCCTTCAAGAAAAGGATAAAAGCAAACACATTTTGCTCAAAAGTTACATCTGAGATTTATTTTGACCATCTGTTCCACAGATGACATTGAAAGTGTATTTCAAGTTGCCATTAAAAAGAAGTTTTCTAACACAAGTAGCTTTTAGCCCTGGATGATGATGATGATGATGATAAATAAGCAACAGCAATCGGATACAGTGGTGCCTCGCAAGATGAAATTAATCCATTCTGCGAGTCTCTTCGTCTTGCGGTTTTTTCGTCTTGCGAAGCACGGCTATTAGCGGCTTAGCGGCTATTAACGGCTTTAAGAAAAAGGAAACAAACTCGCAAGAACTCGCAAGACGTTTCGTCTTGCGAAGCAAGCCCATAGGGAAATTCGTCTTGCGGAACGACTCAAAAAACGGAAAACCCTTTCGTCTAGTGAGTTTTTCGTCTTGCAAGGCATTCGTCTTGCGGGGCACCACTGTACATGCATGTGCAGGTAAAAGGAATGACTTCTGTCAAAACTAAGCAGCTCTTACCTTGTCAATAGTCTTGAGCAGTTTATTCACCTGAGCTAAAGCCTTGGAAAGGATACCATCATATTCTGATCTTGAGCTAAACTCCTCCAACAACATTTTAGATTCCTGGAGCACCTCATTCACTGTTGAGGGTTTAACCACAGAAGCTGAGAGAGAGAGGGGGGGATGTTAAGGAGGAAAAAGTTGAAAGAGGACAGGAAACAAAATACAACCATACCATAAGTAATCCTCAAATACAACCCAGTATATTTGCAATTTGAACTATCCAGGAATAACAACTGATAAGCAGTGCATTCAAAGGGTGCTCTCATCTTGCTACCATCTACCACTGACACACATCTCCTGAAGATCCTGGATCTAGCAGGGACTCACTACAATTCTGCATGACATGGGAGGTCACCAAAACCTTCTAGCATCATAGAACCACAGAAGAGAATATGCTGGTGGTCAATATGTACATATTTTTAATGGACCAACTACAGAGTGCTTTCAGGAACCTCAAAATACTTTTGGCATCATATAGGTGCACAAAAACTCTTGGGTGTAGCCCACAGATTAGCCACCCCTGCTATACACTGAACTCAAGAAACTTAGTTTTGAGTAAACATGTTTAAGATTGTATAAGATTGGCTTATACAAATGAATCCTATTATATTTTAGTAATTTGGGAGTGCTTGGGATTGCTAGAAACCTGTATCATAGCTCTGAAGGTTCCTTGGAGGAAGCCATGATAAATACATTTGAGGTTTTCAGTACTGATATGCCCTTTGGCGCAGGTTTTGGGATTTCAAATAGTTTCAAGGGTTAACATTTTCTTACCTTTACAGAGATGTTCATGTAGATATTCAATTGCTGAAAGAAAGTTTCTTGATATAACCATTCCAAAAACAGCCATCCAGTGTTTTTTGTAGCACTCCAACACCTTTGCCAATGTCCAGGGTGGGGGGTGATACACTACCTAAAAAAAGGCGGGGGGGGGAGTTCAAATATTAATCTCTGATATAATTTAGTGGTCAGGTTTCCATTTCTTGAAGTACGAATTATGTCAGACCTTACTGCTGATCACAGAGTTTCTGCAAGGATGGGAGAACTGGTGCATCAAGATGATACATATTTTATTTCTGGTCAGCTTCACTGACAATAACCCATTAATGTGGTCTCCTGTATACTAATGTATTTTCTCCTTCTCAATCATTTGGTGGCTTTTGATACCATTGGTCACTGTGTCTTGCTGGACTGGCTCTCTGGGATGGGTAATAGGGGCACTGTTTTACAGTGATTCTACTCCTACCTATAGGGCAGTGTCCAGAAAAAAGAACTGAGGGATTAGGTTTCAGCTCCACCACGATCCTTGTAGTTTAGTGTGTCACAGGACATGATCCTCTCGCCAATGCTATTTAACATCTATATGAAACCACTGCGAGTGTTCATTAAGTCTTGGGGTGTTATCTGTTTAATGATGATACATAGCTCTACTTTTCCATAGCGTCAGAGTCAGGGAAAGCAGAGTATGGTCTGGAATGCTGTCTGGATGCAGTGGTAGTTTGGCTGATGGACAATGAACTGAGCTTAAACCATGAGAAAACGGAAGCACTGTGGGTAGGTGGTTCCCATGTCTGGGAGACTGGCCAGTTGCCTGTTCTGAATGGGGTTGCACTCCCTCTGAAATGACAGGTTCGGAGTTTGGAGGTGCTCCTGGGTCCACCTTTGTCATTGGAGGCAGGTAGCCTCAGTGGCTAGAAATGCTTTTTATAGTATATATGTAAACCACAGCCATTCTTGGACAGAGATAGTCTGTCCACAGTGCACTGGTGACCTCAAGACTTGATCACTGCAATGCACTCTATGTGGGACTATCCTCGAGCCTGGCGCAGAGGCTCTGGTTGGTGAAAAACACTAGGGCTAGACTGCTGATAGGGGCAGACTATCACTTGGTCATGCTGTGCAGATGCCTGATTATTGTCTTCCAAAGCAACTACTCTATTCCAAACTTAAAAATGGAAAGCGTAATGCTGGTGGTCAACGAAGGAGGTTTAAAGACGCTCTCAAGGCAAATCTTAAAAAGTGTAGTATAAACACTGACAACTGGGAAACACTGGCCTGCGAGCGCCCCAGTTGGAAAACAGCCTTTCCCAAAGGTGTCATGGGTTTTGAAGACACTCGAACTCAGGACGAAAGGGAAAAACATGCTAAGAGGAAGGCACGCTTTGGCAAGTCCACACTGTGATCAACTCCCGCCCGGAAACCAACGTCCCCACTATGGAAGGACGTGTGGATCCAGAATTGGCTTCCACAGTCACTGACGGACTCACTGTTAAAACCGTGTTTATGGAAGACAATCTTACTCGGCTACGAGTGATCACCAAAGAAGAAAGAAGAAGCTACTTGGCCAAGTTCAAGGTTCTTGTATTAATTTACAAGGCCTTTAACAACTTGGGTCCGACAAACCTTGAGGACTGTCTGGTTCATTGCATTCCTGCCTGATCAATCAGATCTTCTGGGAAGCTACTGTTAGTGATCCTCCAGAGCTCAGCTGCATGGCTCTTTATCTACCAAGAGCCAAATGTTCAGTACTGTGGTCTCAATTTTATGTAACTCCCTTCCAGTTGAGGTCCAGCAGTGGCAGAATACTATTTTATCACTGCGGGCATTTTTAATGAATTCTGGTTTTATAGTTTTAACTGATTTTTATCTTTCTTGTACCGCTTAGACACAATTGTAATTAAGCGGCAAATAAAATGTCAAAATACAAAAATAAAATTTGTACAATTTCTTAAAACTGTGGAATCTGTGTAAGAAATTCATTGTGTGAGGCAGCCACTGGCATGGTAGTCAGCAATGAGACTTCAACATAAGACAAGCGGATAGGTTTAAGGAACAGCACATTCACTGTGACTGTGCAAACTCTGAACCAACAGACTTCAAAGTGGGCTCAGACATTCAACAAACATTTATGAAGAGTGTACAGTCATACCTCGGGTTGAATATGCTTCATGTTGAGCGTGTTCGAGCTGCGCAGCTCAAAATGACGTCACACGCATGTGCAGAAGCGGCAAAAAGCGACGCACACGTGCGCATACGTGCCATTGCTAGTTACGTTTGCTTCTGGATGCGAATGGGGCTCAGGAACGGATCCCATTCACATCCCGAGGTACCACTGTATTCCAAAACTTCCTCAACTTTGCAAAGTTTCTTCTTAAGCAGATATTTGACTATTTGACAGGCCTAATCTGACCCGCAGGCTAGAGGCTCTGCACCCCTGCTTTAAAAGCATGTAAGAATACTTGAAGGTAATCACCTCTTCCCAAAGGTCTCCAAAAGCAATCTTCATTTCAGTTTCCAGTATACAAGATAAAACTTCTTGCAAGCATTCTTTAATGTCATCAACAATCGTTGGAAGAGTATCAGCAAATTTATTCCCAGCCTTCTGGGTTATCGTATCTGTTAAGCAAGCACAATGGATCTTAAATTCCTTGTTCACTTGAGGCTATAAAAGATCAAAACATTAAGTCCCATTAATAGTCTGCTTAGAATTCACTACACTTAACGAGATCTCTGATACGACTATTGGCAGTCACTTCAAAAGGAGACTCCCCAAGTTCCCTGAAGAGTTAAATCAGAATCTTATTTCATCCAATATCTACCTGCTCATTTTAACTGGTCTGATAAAGAACTGTTGGCTCTTTTCTATGTAGTTCTATAGTTGAGAACGGCCAACATATCCTCTCCTTTAATCTTATAAAAGTTTCTATGTGGCACAGTAATAATAGAAATTATTTTATTATTTTATTATTTTTATGCCACTCATCTGTGTGGGTCACCCCAGCCACTCTGGGCAGCTTCCAACAAAATATTAAAACACAAAAAACCCTTAAATATTAATAACCTCCCTGTACAAGGCTGCCTTCAGATGTCTTACAAAAGTCAGATAGATGTTTATTTCCTTGACATCTGATGAGAGGGCATTCCACAGGGTGGGCGCCACTACTGGGAAGGATCTTATGCCAATGAAGTTCAGTATTTCAGTCCTTCATACATCAGCTTAGCATTATTTATCTGTTAGAAGATTATTAGAACTATGTGAAATATTTAAAGTTATTGGAAATGTTTGTCATCGTCAGTCAGGTTCTCAAAGAGAATAAAAATGTTTGCAAACTACTATTTATCGGCTTTAGGCTGGGTGGCATTCAACTAAGTTTTACTCAGGATAGACCCACTGAAAAAAATGAACACAACCAAGTTAGGTCAGTTCATTTCAACAGGTCTACTGTGAGTAAAACCTACTTGACTACCACCCTCGTTTTCTGAGAATAAGATCAGTTCAATTCAGTGGGTCTTG